CCCCCAAGAAACCTCCATCCCTCCTGGGGGTGGGCCCCATTGCAGCCACCTTTGTCATCAGGGACCAGGGACATGAGAGGTCCCAGCTTACTGTGCTCCATCACTAGCCACAGTTTGGGACCCAACCTGTCACAGACTCATCTCTGACATGGGTGGTGTGGCTGGCTCTGGTCGGGCCCCTGGCAGCTGGGTGGACTCTATGGAACCCCACTTGAACCTGAACTGCACCAGCTGTGTTGGACTGTGGGCTTCAGTTGTACCCTGGGGAACCTCCTGCCCTGTATAATGGGGCCGGAACTCCTCCCTCCCTACTGAAATGCTCCAGGGAGGGACTGGGAAGGCAGAGATTCAGACTGTGAGTGGAGGGTAGGGAAGAGCAGGGTATTCCCATCTCTTTCCAGTGCTAGGCCTGAGGTGTACTGGGTAGGTGCTGCCTCAAGCTCTTGCTGGTGCAGCTGAACCGGCTGCTGTACTGTCATGGCCTGTGCCGTCATCAAGGGGACCATCCCCAGTGCCAGCACCGGGCTCAGACCAGTCAGAATAAGGTGCTCTAAGCAGCCCTCTCTATCCTTGTGGCCCTCTGTCCTGCTCCCCGCTGCCATGCCCAGTTTCATCAGGCTGCCCTCATCCTCACCTCTCCCCTTCCCCTTGGCAGGACAACTGTGTCTTTGTGCGCAATACAGACCAGCGCAACGCAGACAAGGACAGCTTTGGTGACGTCTGTGACAACTGCCGGAACGTGAAGAACAACGACCAGCGGGACATTGATGGCGATGGGAAGGGCGACGAGTGCGATGACGACATGGATGGAGACAGTAAGAGTCAAGTAGAATGGGGGTGGGTGCATCCTGAAGGAAGTGCCACAGCGCCAGTGTAACTGCAGCACCTTGGGCTGGCCCAGTCCCTCAGCCACAGGCAGAGTGGAGACCTGCAGCTGTGCAGGAAAAGCACTCATTTCAGAGTGGCTAAAGCAGCAGGGCCTGGAGTTCTCCATCAGGACAGAAGCCAGGGGCCTTCATAGTCTGGCTTTCACTACACATAAGTGACAGAGCCCTGTGGCTGGCACAAAGAACTGGTGCCTTCTCCTTTCCCAGCCTGAGCTACAGCTGCCTCCTAAGGGAAATGAGACTGCTGGCCATGCTGACCTCATTGTGACTGATGGCACTCAGCTCATGGAGCAGGGTTCACTTCCAGCTTTCCTGATGAGAAAGTGGAGAAACAGCTAGGGAGTTCTGAGTGACTGGGCCCAGGCAGCAGGTGTCAGGGCTGCACCCCGGGAAGCGGTTGGTCTGGTTGTAGAGGCTGTCTGCACACTGTCTCTGTCTGCTGCACATGTGCTCAGACATCACCTGGCTCCAGCCTGCAATAATGGAAATCCAGCAGCAGACTCTCCCGAGCATCTGGTGCCACAGGAGAGTTGCTGCTTCCTGCTTCCGCATCTGGCTGGCACAGAGGCGGTAGCAAATGGCACAATGGGAGGAGTGAGGTTGAGCAGGTTTCTGATTAGCTCATTCCTCATCTGTCTCAGGCCTTGGGAAATGCTGTCTGCATCTCCCAAGTCAAACAGCCAAGAGGCAATAAGACAAGCCAAGGCTAATCCGCAAAGTCTGTTGTGGAGCAGAAAACCCACTGCAGTTGTGCATGTTTCCCCCCACTATGCCTGACCCCTCTCTAGACAATCATTCCCAGACAGCTCACAGCTCTTGTGCTGCCCAGCCCTGACTCGCTGCAGTTCTCCTAAGCCTTATTAGCACAGATGTGGCCAGGGACCTTAACAGGGGTGACGCATCAAACACATTTGTACAGGACTCTTGCCCTGGCAACAGGTTGCAGCCCTTTCCCCAGTGTGAGCTCCATCTCAACAGCCATGCTGTGGAAACCTTCCCTCCCTTTCTGCAGTGGCTCTGTAGCAGGACCATAGGAAGACACATCCAGCAACCATTAAGCCCTGGTGGGACAACCCTGCCTGCCTCCTGCCTCTTATACACAGAGGAAATAACATGGACTGGCTCCCTTTCAAGATGCTTGGTAAAGGCCTCTAGGCTCGTCTCAGCAACAGAAAGCCTGGACACATGTGGAAGGAGAGCCAGCACCACATGCCCCCAGCCCCTATGAAGCAGGCCTGCTAGTTGAGTTGGTGGCTAGGTAAAGGTGGGAGCACCCAGCCATCCTACACAGGACCTGAGAGCAGCCTGCATGCTGGTGAAGGGTCCTGGCCAGGCTGCTAGAAGGTCTGCACCAGTGTTAATGTACAGACACAAAGGTTTCCAGTGTTGGAGCTGCAGAAGCAGGGGAAGGTCTAGTGCAGATGTGGCCCACCTGGGTGCTTGCAGCATGTAACTGTGGGAACTGCTCTGGCTTTTGGGCAGATGTAAGAAGCCACTCTAAGCTGCTGAGTCCTGGCCACACACATGTGCTTTCACCTCTAGGCTGTGTGAGGGCGGGCAGCCTTCTTCCATGCGCAAGAAGCCCCAGTACTTCTGTGGTTGTCTCAGGCCCCTGACTCCCTTTCAGCCTATGCATGCTTGCCCCAAGCCCTCAGAAGTCTGTGGAAGGGACTGCTGCTCTGTGGGTACGTGCTTTGGGCGCCAAACCACTGCAGGGCTCTGGGTTCCTCCCTGATGATGCAGCTCCTGAAAGCATGAAAGGATGAAAATCAGTGAGTACACAGGTGGATCCACACAAGCGCAGGCACTAACTGAAGCCAATGTGTTATGGAACAGTGAGCCATTGCCCTGTAGCTACAGTGTGTGCGCTAGCTGCCTTCAGAGGCAGTACTGGCTAGAAGGGCTCACTGTACATCTCTTGCAGCAATCAAGAATGCAGTGGACAACTGTAAGAAGATCCCTAACCTTGATCAGAAGGACAGTGATGGGGATGGCATAGGCGATGTGTGTGACAGCTGCCCAACCATCAGCAATCCAGACCAGGTGGAGTTAGTACATCCTTGGCCTTGAATGACTAGGTGTAGTGAAAGCCTGTCCCTTGCACTGCGGGCAGGCTGACTCCTGCAAGTCTACAAATGCCTCCTAATGCAAGGATCTCGGCTACACAGTTTATGGTGATGGGGGATTGTTCCCAGGCTTTCCCTTTAGCTTGCCCCTTTGGCCTTTTTATAGATTCATAGATTTATAGATTAAGGGTCGGAAGGGACCTAGTAGATCTTCTAGCCCGACCCCCCGCCAGGGCGGGAGAACAACAAAAAACCCCAAAAAGAGAAACGGGACTCAAACGAGTCCAGCCAGGTAGGCATCCAGCCTCTTCTTAAAGACCCCCAGGGTAGGGGCCAGCACCACTTCCCTTGGAAGTTGGTTCCAGCTCCTAGCCGCCCTAAC